ACCCCATAAAATACAATCAAATCAAAGCTTAATGAAATATGTGAGCATTTTATCAACCTGCAAGTGATTATGTGTCCAAAAACAATCGGACATTTTTCAGGTCAAAAGGATCTTTAAAGAAAACAGTCATGAATGTTATGAAAGACGCTGRCATGAGGTCCTGAAAGCAAGAGCTTCTTCATGCTACACAGACCTTTAGCKATTATCACAATAAAATTTAGCTCCATATTTGTAAAATAATCGTTGTGCAGGCTAAGGTTAGTCAGCCTTTTTCCAATCCAGTTCAGTGAGTCATGAGAAACTTTCCTAAAGACCTCAGGCAGGGKKGGTCCTAGCCAATTTGGTGCCCTGGYCAAGATTTCAGGCGGCACCCCTTTTGCCTTTTTCTAAATCTCACTTACAATTTACAGACATTCATAAACAAAATTAAATGGATTTGTCTTAGATAATACTTTTTATCTTTAGAAACCAGGCTGTCCAGTAAAAATAGTTAACAGTTACCTAAAGGCTATTTCATACCTGCCAACATCTGCAAACAGCAGTGAGGAAATCCTGTTTATGCAAACAAACACCTGTGGAGTGAAGCAGTTTTAGGGGGGTCCAGGGGTATAATACCCTGGAATTTTTTTAATCTACTCAAATTACACATTTTCCATTCATTTGAAGAACATTTCACTGAGTTTTTGTGATTAATGAAACAACATAATCAGTATTTTATGAAGTTAGATGACAGAAAACTAGACTTTAACTTGAATTTATCTGAGATCAGAACTGAAAGGTCCATTTTCGTTATTTTTGTTTTATACACCGAGCACCAGTATATGGTCTTAACTAGTTCATTTGATACTTTTATTTTGAAACATCCTCTGCACCACCTCATGTAGGAAAAACACAGAACAAGTTACCTTCAAAAACCTGAGAAACCAAAGATTATTCTACAGAACAAATGAACTAAACTCAGAAAAAATATATAAAACATTTTTAATGTCCCCCATTTGTGGCGCCTCCATAGATGGATGGTGTCCTTAGCATTTGCCTATACTGCCTACACCACAGGCCAGCACTGGCTCAAAGCTAAAAAGCCTTGTTCTACCTTCAGCTCTGACAGCAGCAGATACACATGTTGGTGTTTTTCAGGGACAAGCTTTACCTTGCAGGCCGGTCTGCACCAGAGACACCGGGTCAGCCGGTGAGAAAATGCCACTGATGGTAAAAACTTTGCACATGTCAACGTGCAGGAGCTCCAGGCTGGAGGAGAAGACCACCCAGAGCAGCTCCATCTCCCTCCGCTGCTCCTGGGGCAGGCTCTTGTCCCGGAGGTGAAAGGTCAGGTGGTGACAGATGGCTGCAGACAACTTCTGGGCCTTCTCTCTGGTTTGTTGCAGCTGGTGGCGAAGCTGCAGGCTGTCCGTGCTCCCGCCAACACACCAGGAGAAATGGTGGTAACATGCCACCACCTGCAGAGGAGGAGCTAGCATCATTAAACAACAAGAACCTGAATCCACCCTGTCCACATCTGATCAAGTGTTCACAGGAGCAAGAC